AGACTTAGGAGGGCAAGATCACTTTATTGAAAACATTGAATTTTATTTAATGTAATTGTCTAAAAAGGTCATGTTGACATCCTGAATTCTCTGAACTAGTCCATTTCTTTAGTGTTAACACAATCCTACAAATAACAGGTAATCACCTTTCTACAAAGATATGGCACAACTTGGAATATAATAGTGAGGAGTTTGAAGAAGCAGGCTATATATATTATTATATAAGACCATATATGTATATACATGGGTGTGTGCATTTATGCACATACATGCAGCCCTCATCCTCGCTGGACCTATATCTCTTAGAGAAACCCAGCTGCTTTCTGGAAAATGTCACTGATAAACCTGATGGCAAATATACATGACATTGCTTTTTCCATAACATAAAATGCTTTTCTTAATAAAAGACTTATCTATCAGTTATCCTACCTGGACATCAAGATCATTGGTTAAATATGAATACTTATTGCAACTCTAAGGAAAATTATATTTACGCTGAACAAGGATGACTCACTCATGAAAGAAACTGTGCCTGACCATGCATATAAACTTCCTTGATTCTAAACACTACTACTTCATGATGCAAACCTTCCTCTAAATATAGTTCCAAACTAGGCAGATTCATTCCTTTGTTATCACACATCAGTGGTCTTAACATTTTTGGACAGTATTGCACCATTAAGTAAACAGCATAAAATGTATTTTTTTTGAGGAAACCACTAAATATCAATCCTTCTCTCTTCCCTCTCAAATAGAATTTAGCCAGGCAGGTTTTGTTGGAAATGGCATGAGTGTGGAGACAGATTTTGCTGACCCTTTTTCTTCCATAGCAATGTATCTACTGTCGCCTGTATGGCTGCTGATAAACTTTAAAGACCTAAATACATCTGTACTCTCTTATTCCATCTTCCATCCTTCTGCCAAATTAAGAAGGGAATGCATCCCCTATTCACAGATTACTTTTTTCCCTGTAAAGTCAGGCTCTGTTGTTTCAACTTTTATAAGTTTTACTTTATTTGACCCAAATCTAGATGATTCCATTTAGCCAAAATAGAACACCTTACCTATTGGAAACAGAACACATGGCAACCCATCTGACTGCTTCTCAACTTAACTACATTTGTGTCAGTGCCTGTGAGGATGTGATTCTTTTAATTCATATCCTGCCTGCCCACAGGGCCATGACATTTAATCAGAGCCACTAGCCAAGCTTGTACTAACTTCTGCAAAAGCTCACAAATTGAGTATTTAGAAACAATTGATCAGAAAAAAATTTCTTCTATAAAAGGAAATGTATTATGTTACAGCCTTCACTTAACAGATAGAGCAAATCATGAAGGATTCTACTTCTTACCAGTTTCATTAAAAATATTTTCTAGGGGCAGAATCACTAATAGAAGTGAATTCAGAGAACCTCACATTTATGGCAATCTTTCTTCATGTATACATAATTTAGGACTGATCAGTCAGACTTCAAACTTGCCATAACCCCTGAATTTATATCCAAGCTAATTTGAAGAAAGGTAATGAAGGACAAATCAGTTCCCTGCTGCTATTCAATATTCAGCTGTCAGGGTGACACAGCTTTGATACTGCCTCATGTTCTTCCCACTTAAGTTTTTATTGCCTCCCACACTGTCCTGGTTCATCCCACCGTTCCTCACCACCACCTCCTCTGTTCCTTGTACTGTGAGGTCAAGCTGTAGGTATGCCAGAGCAGAACAGGTTTGGCAGGATAAGTATTGCCCGGTAACTAATTTTATTTACCCAGCTTCTAGCATTTAAGGTTCTCCAACATAATGAGAAGAAGGGCTTACTTTTCCAAGACATTGTGATCTGACTACAAGACTACTCTTTTGGAGGAAAAAAATAAAAAGGAAAAGAAATAATCCTTTCAGTCAGCTTGAAGTTTCTGTGCATATGAGTCATCTTCAGTTTTCTTTCTGGTGCTGAAAATATTTTATAGTCTTGATATAAGTAACAGTGCCAAACATGGGTGTTTCCCTTTCCTCAGACTTATTCCTGCTCACAGACTAGTACTCAGTGATAACAGCAGCAGAACCCCCCCATGTCAAATCTCCTCTTTGGCCTGTGGCACCCAGCACAGACCTGTTTTCTGGCTCAGGCTCTGGGCACTGGAGCACTGCTGTAAGCTATTCTTGCTTTTCACTGAAGCAACTATTTTTACCAGTTGTCATTTTCAGTCAATGGATAAAAGACTAGAGTCCAGTGATCCCCCTTCAAGCACTTCACATTTTATTGGAAATGTTTCAGTAATTAGATTATTCTAGTTGACCAAAAATCTCAGAGAAGATTAACATTACATTAACACAAAGCCTCTTTACTTCAATTTCCCTTCTCCCAACAGAAAATGTTGGTGATTCATACAGCTCTGAAAGGGCCTTACCCTTCTTACGTACAAGAGAGGATTTTCTCAGCCTCTGGACTATGCTATAGAAGCTGCCAGCCCAGTGGTGTGATAGGGGAGTTGCTCTACCTCCCTTGGAGACTACTAACTTTCTCTGTGGTTTTCTAGCACCCCAGGACACAACTGTGGTTTCTGTTTCAGTTCTATGATGGATTAGAATGTCTGCCTTCTTTTCTGCCCATGTAGACTGGCAGCCTGTGTTTGCATTTTCTGTAGCTCAGAGGGAGGTTTGTGCAATGGAGAGCACCAGAATCTACCAACAGTGGGTTTCTTCACTCTGCTTGCAGCTGGTCTTCAACAGTAAGGAGCCCAGTCACCACAGAGCACTGCTGGTGGACAAGCAATGTGATGATGTGGTACACTTTATTAACTGGATTCATGTTTTATTAAGAGGGATGATCACCAGAGAGTGAAATTTCTGCTGGGGAAAGGCTGTTCTGTAACAGCCTGCTCTCCAGTTTCAGTCACTCCCTGACGAAGCATGTTGTGATGTCCTGTTATATGGCACTTAACACAGAATTCAGTACACTGAATCCTTGACTAGCCTAATCTTTGACTAGGAAAACATGAAAATGGATATAGCATGCTGTGGAATGAAGCTGGAATGCCATAACCACATTCAGATGTGATATTATCATGGAAAATACAATCACTGAAAATCAGAAAACTGAATATGAAGACATCTTTCTATCCCAAAGAAATCTATAATTAAGTTATCAGTTATATTAAGTACTTTGAGTTAAAATATGAATATCAATAACGGTGGCTGAAACTCAGACTGTCCAGATGTTTGCTTTGGAAGCAAGAACTGAATGTTTTGGTGACACAGCTGCGATGCTCTGCCATTATTCCCCTCAGCCTGTCCCTCTAAAATGCTTTGGGGATAAAAATTGAGAAGAGAGTATTGCAGGCTCTGTTCAGCAGAGTCCTCCTTTTCTCTTCAGCCCAGCAAGCCTCCAAGTGTGAAAGGCTTCTAAAAATGGAGAATGACTGATTCATAAAAATGGAAAACTGAAGGAGGCTGGTAAATAAAACTGTTCAGCTTACCCAGCCACAGTTTCCTATAACTGAAAAGAGGAGTGTTCTTAGGCAAATATTTTCTAACCTTTAAACAAATATTTGGCTTGAAGGTTGGGAAAATACTGTTTTATAGCAAAGACATGACCACTGCCTATCACGAATACCACACGTGTTCTCCCAGCACGTCATGGAGAGTCTGCCCGCTCAGCCCTTCCCCTGTGCACCTCCCACATCCCCCAAGTGCTCCGCTGACCAACCATTCAAGCAGCTTGCATGTAAAAGCACATTTACATTTTAATGAAACACAGGGGTGGGGGATGTGTTGAAGGCCCTGGAATGACCCAGCCGAGCTGGCAGTGGGGAATAGACCAGGAACCTGACAGCTGTTTTGTCAGGCCATTTTTATCCCATTGCTTCATGTAGCTGTTGTATAAAAGGAAATGTTGACATATAGTTTTAAGTTTTTAGCCTGAAAAACTGTTTTTGCTTTTCGTTTCTCTATTCTTTTCCCACAGTTGTCCTTAAAGCTTAGAGGGGTACCTCCCAGCTTAAGACAGGTTGCTGGATTTTACTTACTCTGTCCAAACTCCCTGGCTCAGGCCTCGTAAATTTCTAATTAGCAAGTTACTCCTTTATGTCTGTATAAATTGCCACCAGCTGAGGGGAAGGGCTGTGACAGAACTTTGTGACCAAGGAACTTTCTCTCCTTTACTAGAAGCAGTCTTTATTCACCCTAAGGGATGGTTTGGGAAGCTGTAATTTTTACTGCTCCTTTTCATCTGGTGGGGAACCTCATCTGGCGAGTTTACTGTGTGGTTGCTGGTTGGAGTTCGAGATGGATGAAGAAAGAAGCATTCAGAGTGAAACTTGTGAAGATCGCTGGCCGGGGCTACACAGAGAGGGCTGGCTGCACAGCGCATTTGTATTCACCTTGGATGTTACTCTGAGCTCTAGCCAGGCACTCCACATCAAGAAGTGTCTCCAGGAGCCCTGCACAAGAGCAAAGACTCTTTTAGCTTGTTTGGCGAGCTGCTGGAGGTCACCTGGTTCAAACTGCACCCCCAAACAGGCCCCATTTTGAAGTTACAGACCTGAGGGAGGGCTTCAGCACCCGACATCTGGGCTTCTCCTTGAACTCATCACATCCTGCACTTAATGAAATTCATCCTCCTGCTTCATACTGCGTCACCTTATATTGCGTTGAAACGTGAATGAATGAATGAATGAATAAGTAAGCAAAGAAAAACAACAACAAAAATAGTGGAAGGAATTGCTGTTTTGGAGGTTTCTCGCTGCAGGGGGCGGGAGCGGCGGGGACAAGGAAATCTCCAGAGACTTTTGTGCGCAGAGGGGAATAAGCGTTCTCCGCAGCGCGCGGCGGGGGGAGGCTCTCGGTCGGCTTCGTGGAGCGCCAGCGGGGGATTCCACGCGTTACTCGGAGACAAGGAATAGCAGCGAGAGAAAGAGGCGGCGGGAGCAGCATCGGCACAGGCGGCGGGAGGAGGAGGAGGAGGAGGAGGGGGAGGCCCTTCCTCCCCGCGTCCCTCCCTCCGCCGCGGTACCTGCGCCGCGCGGCCACGTGAGCGCCACATCAGCGCCCTCAAAGTCAGCCAGCGGCCGCGCTCCCCCTTCCCTTCCCTTCCCTGCTTCCCTCAGCCCCCGCTCCCCTCGGCGGCCCGGCCCGGCCCGGGGCTCAGCCGGCCCCGGCTCGGGAAGATGCTGCAGTCGCTGGCGGGCAGCTCCTGCGTGCGGCTGGTGGAGCAGCACCGCTCCGCCTGGTGCTTCGCGCTGCTGGTGCTGGGCTACCTGCTCTACCTGGTGTTCGGCGCCGTGGTCTTCTCCTCGGTGGAGCTGCCCTACGAAGACCTGCTGCGCCAGGAGCTGGGCAAGCTGAAGCAGCGCTTCCTGGAGGAGCACGCCTGCCTCTCGGAGCAGCAGCTGGAGCAGTTCCTGATGCGGGTGCTGGAGGCCAGCAACTACGGCGTCTCGGTGCTCAGCAACGCCTCGGGAAACTGGAACTGGGACTTCACCTCCTCCCTCTTCTTCGCCAGCACCGTCCTCTCCACCACGGGTAAGGCAAAGGCGGCTCGCCCGCTGCCGGAGGCCTTCCGGGGAGGCCCGGACCCCCGAGGGCCCCGCGGGGCCGGTGTGGGGCGGCCGGGGCCGGGGGCACGGAGCGACCGCCCCGCGGCGCTGGGCCTGAGGGGCTCCGGAGGGAGCCGTGCTTCCCAAACTCTCCCGTGCCACAGGCATGCTCGGGGGAGAGTGCTTCACCCATGATTGACCCCCCTGCCTTGAATTCAGCGCCAAGAGCCAGGCTGCCAGCTCCCCCACCTTGAAATCCTTGGCGGTTTCGAAAATCCGGCGAGATGCCCGTCTCTTTCTCTGAACTTTTAAATGCTTCTGGAGGTGTCTCCTTTGCGTTCTCCTTTGGTTGTTGGGTTTTTTTAGGCTGATTTCAGGCTCACACACACGCGGATGGATGGGGACGGACTGCTAACCTGCATATAGTAAAGTTAAATTTAATTTTCATGTTTTCCTGCCAATTTCCATTTAATATTTGCATATAAGTGACTGAAAGATAATGCTTCTTTTCTTCCAGATAGTAATTTGCATTGGAGCTCTGAAAACCTCGGGGAAACGTTTCTCTGACCATAGTTTTTACAAGCACTTATTTTTACAGTAGGTGCATTTTTTGTACCATCGCAGTGGACAGCCTGCTCCTAAAGGATGAGTGCAGGCATTTGTGCTGGGAAGCTGGGTTCTGGTGATTTGAATGCAGGTCACCGACATAAATAATAAGGGCTTGTCAAATAAGAAAAGCTTTAAAAAACAATCACCCTAAAATTTGTCCAACCAGAGAGGGCTTTGTGTCTTGGCAGAACATATATTACTATAAAAGATGCACTGTTGCTTTCTTTTATTTTTTTTCCCCCCCCTCCCTGTCCCCAAGTTAGCACTCCTTCTATTATGGGAAATTTAATCAGCTGATATTAATAATGACATTTAATAATTTGCTTACCTGTTCAAATGTTAGTGCTTCCTGACTGATCTCAAACAGGCAATGCTTGTCCTATAAATAGTTGTCATTGAGTATACAGATTAGTGTTTTAAGGAAGTTGTGTTTTCAAAAAGTAAAACAGGCTTATGGGTGTCCCCACAACACCCTCCCCACTTGTTAATTACTAGAGCTTGTAAGAAGAAAGTTGCACACTTAAAGCAGTTAAATGCTTTCAGTGAATAAATTTCTAAGCATTAATCAACATATAGTAGTACTACTAATGAAAATAACATTGAATTGTGATAGTACTTCAGCGCTCAAGTTTTATTTTATTTTTTTTTTTATTTTGGTAAAGCTATAAAGCACTTAAAATATAAGAGGATGAGTTGACCTTACAGTGCTTTTTTTTATTCCTAATCAGTTATACTATTAGGTACTATAAAATGTAAATTATTGTGCCCAAGAGCTGTTTTTATATTCAAAATAGTTTTTCTGTAGTGTAGTAACTCATAAAAGGTATTGAAAAAGTTCCTTTTTTTTTTTTTTTTTTTTAATGACTCAGTCAAAAAGTGTTCACAGTTGGGACAGTGGGGCTGGGTCTGAGTTGGTAACACCGTAACACTTCCTGCTGATACACAGCTACAGGATGTTTGGCTTCAGTAGTAGAGCTCATGCAGGGATATCTCTTTCCCACTGCATGTCTGCTGAAGGGCAAGGCATAACCTGGCCCTGCATATTTATCTGGCTGGATCATAGAGGCCTTACCAGGAAAGAAGACTCAAGGTACCATTGCTCAATGGAAAACCTCTTAGAAAATGCCACTTACATGGCAAGTGCGCAGAAAACTGGGAGGTCTGACACGCGGCAGGTGAGTTTTCATTATTTCTGCCAGCTTCATAAACTGAGGTCATCACTGATGTAACAGACCAGGCATCAAGTGGTGGTACTTCCTTCTGTGTCTGATGATCCTTTGACTTGGGCCCTTTTTAACCAAATCCATCTGTTTCTTGTTTGGTGCAGTGGCCTTTAGCTGTACTTAATCCCTATTTAATATAAATTAGAGTTTGTTCAAGTAGACAGCTATACATCCAGATCAGTATAGTATGTCCAATGCTTGTTCAAATTCTTCCCAGGGTGTGTGTGTTTCTGGTGAGGTGCATTTTTTTCCCCTCAATTAACTCTGCACCTGTGCAAGAAATCTTTCAAGTATCTTGAAATGGTCATTAAAAGGGGCAACAAGCAGAAGAACTTGCCTGGCCACCTCAAACAGGGGTTCAGAAGTGTTTGAACATTCAAAATGCGCTGTATTGGTATAAAGTGTACACCTGAAATGCCTTCCCTTTGCCAAGTACAGTAAGGGTAAAAGCAGAAAAGAGAACCCTGCTACTGGTGGTACCAGCTGAGGGTTGTTTCTGTGCCTAAGTGAAATTACAGGGAGCACCTGAATGTTCCTTATGTTCAGCTGACTGAATTTATCTCTCATATGTAAATAAACGCACACCTACCCCTCGTACTGACGACAAGGCTTCTTTCATAGCCTTTCAGTTTTCTATATAAAGCATGTAGGGAAAGTGTTTAAATTTGGCAGCCCTGACTTTTCTTCTTGTTCCCTCCCGTCCTTATTATAGTCTTTGGCTTCTTACTCACAAGAGAAAATCCTTGAAGGAAATGATAAAGCCAGTTGAGAATTTGGGAAAAAAAAAATCTTAAATGAAAGGAGATTGCAGAATAAGGCAAATTGCTACTTGAAAGCAATTAATATTGCTGTGCACATGGGCTGTCACAGGACTGTCACAAGCTGCCTGAAGGACAGGCAAACAAAGGACAGTGAAATGGACTGTTGGTGAGGCTTCAGCAGATTGTAGCAGTGGCAGGCAGCAGGTTTCTCCTCTGACTTTATTCTTCCCCATGCAACTTAAGCAGTTGTGCAGAATGCCATATGAGCGATGTGTAAGGTGAAGCAATTTGGTCATTAATAATTGACAGCCTAAACACTAAGAATATACAGTTGTGCGCATTTAAGTAGTGTCTGCCTTGGAAACTCCCTGTAATTAATACCTGACACACATCTATGGTCTGCTGGTCTCAGTGCTAGGTGCCATCAAATCATTATGCTGAAGCAGTTCTTTCTGGTTGGCTTTGTTGTGGTGCCATCTGTACTAAAGTCTTTTATTTCTAACAATAAAAATGAAGTAATTTTTTGCGCTCACTCTTCCAGGTGGTGTTTTCACTTCTCTTGGCATGCTGTCAGTGTCTAACATCTTATCCCATATTGGTGCAATATGGGAATACTGCATTACATGAGTTGTAAGCAGAATAAAGCAACCAAAGAAATTGATATTGGTTGTGTTGACAGATATGAAGAGTACGCTGACTTCTGCTTGTTGCAGGAAAATAGGTGGGGAAGGAAAGGAGCTGCCAATTTAGGAACTTGGGGCCTCTAGTTTTATGTTTGTTTCTGGAAAGTCTTCTCAGTGCAAAGATATTCCATGGCATTTTATACAAATGGACTGTAGGTCTGATTTTGACGTATTTGACGGTTTGAGTATTTTTGCCTTTATCTACAAGTGTGGCTGGAGATTTCATATAACCTTTAGACACCAGAAGGATGCTGAGGAAGAGCTTCTTTGGATCCTTCTCTGCTGAGATAGAGTTGGCAAGATACCCATTAGAAGGAAGTGAGGATAGGTTTGTCCTGATTTAGGGACTTGCAGAGGAAAGGTAAGAAGTTGCCTCTTCTATGATGGCAATGCATGTTTTAAATTTTTTGATTAAGGTTAGCTGGCCTCTCATTTAAACCACAGGAGTTAAGGCAATAAGAGAGGGAAGGATTGTCAGGATTTGACAACTTCTGAAGCCTGTAACATGGTTATCTGCAAAGTGGTTTGTGAAAGCGACATTTTCTCCAGAATCCAGCCTGTACCAATCTCATTGTTGGTGCTGCGGATGGATGTATTGTGCTGCATTCAAAGAATGTCACCCAAGATCCATAATGGACTGAATCTGGGTTTCTGCTCACTGTATTCTGAATGGAGTAAGGAACAGTAGTAATTTTCAGTAGTTGCAGATAAATGCTGACAGAGGCTGTTACTTTGAAAGTTCTTGGTTGAAGGTGTTAAAGAGACAGTATGGCTTTCAGGGAAAAGTTGTGCATTCAAGTTATCTAACTGCCAATCTGTATGAGGAGTTAAATGCACTTATAATTTGATTTACTAGGATGTTCTTAGTTAGCTCTGACTCTCATAAGCATTGCTACTGATGACTTGCACAACTAAACTGTGCCTTTATTTATGACAAGTAACAGGCTGTGAGGTTGTGGTGTACTGCAAAATAATGTGCATTCTTTATGAGGAGACCAAGGAAAGAGAATCCTGGCAGTCTGCATCATTTTCTCCGTGTTCTTCTCGCAAGTGCTTAATTTTCTTCCCTTTCTTCCCCCTCAGGGGAACAGGCCCCACATCCAGTGAATATTTAGTGTGCATTACAGATCTTAACACTTCCATAGAAGATGAGGGAGTGCCATGAAAGCATCACAAGGGAACATTACAAAGACATCGTAAGATTTGTAAGCTCTTACAGTAGAGCCCTCAGGTGGAAGAAACTACTGGGGTCTCTCATACCTCTATAGAAAGATATAACTTATATAAGATAATAAATAATAAATAAGAGGACAGTTTACAGAGCCTTTAGGGAAAACAAGGTCTTTTGTCCCATGCTTGAATTCAATGTACAATGCATACGGTATTTTTGCTGCTGTCAGAATATGTGGGCTGTGTCCCTGGTGATGCCTGTATTATCTCGTTAATACACACCAAATAAATGTGTTTCATAATTCATACCAAATGTCTGTCTAGAGACAGACTGTTGCCTCTTATCTGAAAATATACAAACTTGGTGATGGATTAAACTCAGATCTGTCTCACTGGTAGTCACTTCTGGCTCCAGCAGAACACTGAAGCTTCATTGTGCTGTTTGTGTGACTGCAGCAGGCATAGATTGTTTAAATTGCTGTGATGAATTGCAGCTATTTACCAGTGTGAGAATGCCAAACTTTGGGAACTTTGTTTCTC